CCATTTTCAGGAAGCATATCACGGAACCTAGCCCATCCCCTAGGGAATTACACTTCACCTTCTATAGAGAGGAATATTTAAAGATACTATTGGAATTCTGTAAGGAAAATGTGTCTCTTCTATTTACTTATTTATTGCATTATTTACATCAGTAAAATACACACACACACACAACAACAACTCACCTGCTACTCTGTGCCTCTCCGTTCTCTCTTCTGAGGGGTCACAGGCACCTCCCCATTGACGCTCTCAGTCCCACTGACCGACATCAAACTTCTCCGCTCCTTCTGGTTGGACTTGTGTTCCACCTTCGTAACTCTAAACCTGAGGGGCAGAGAGGGTATGTTTGCTCTTCCAGGAAACAAAAATGATGAGTGAATCAAAAACCACCCACCTAGAGGATCCCAAATGAACTCAGCCAAAAGTCAGGACAGCAACAGAAGACACCTCAGTCAACAGTAAATCCCCCTGTCCCTGCCCAACGTCCGGTTTATTTTCACTCAGCACATCACAGACTAAGCTGGGCACTTCACAGAGCATGGAAAATGCATTACAGACGCGGTACCCAAATACTACTCAGCCTCTGAGTTGTGGTTTCTAACGACAACATGGGCTTTAACATCTGGCTGGAGAAAAACATAACCAGTTTGAAAATTAGACTAATGTAATGACGTAACCAAACGTTCACCCAGAAACTGCCTTAGTCAAAGATACGTTTGTCAGAGAGTCAGCTCTCCACACACACACAGCCATCGAAGCCCCAACTATGTATTTTATCAGTATCAGTTGGTAGTAGGGTTATTGTGCCTAGTTTTCGTCTTTTTTAAAAAAAAGCAACTTTGGATTAATTTTCATTAAGGATTATGGAAAAAAATTACGAAAATTAAAGAAGAGATTTTTCATCAAGATTAAAAAGTTAAAGAAATTTACTCAATTTGACTGTTTTTCCATTTCTAGTCTATTGTCACGAAATCCCTAAGGTCTTTCTCATAATAACTTCTCTCTAGTTCTGGCCTTAAGTTCTCTTAAAAGGATCTCGAATAAACTCTTCTTTGTCCAAAATGAGATCACCCACCATCAGGAGGAGAGGCTGAGGAAGCGAAGGAGGACGGGAAGGTGGCTCCTGAACTCTGTTCTGTCGCTCTGTAACACGGTAAGTAACCCATGCTGACGCCCCTAGCATTCTGCATCCCAGAAGGAGGCATTTAATTGAATCGGAGTTGAAAATTTCAGCAGATTTTCCTTTAAAGCCACCATTCACTTTATCCAAACAAGCTACAGGTTCTGGTCGCATTCCACATTCATAAACTCCCATGACTCTGCTTCTTAATAAAGCAGCGTGGTCATGGGTTGCACTGTTTTGCTGGAAGTGGCAGACAGCCCAGCAGTCTACCCTCATTGCTGGTGCAACACATGATGAAATTCAATCGAATTAAACAAACAGTAATAACAGCCAACATTTCTTGGGTGCATTGTAAGTGCCAAAAACTGGCCTAAAACTTCTACATGAATCATCCTATTTCGTCTCACAGCAACCCAATGAGGTGAGTGTTACTGTCATTCCCAATTTATTAAGGGGGAAATGAGGCACAGAGAGAAGCAAGTGCTTTTATGTGTGGTGCCGAGACTCAAACAAGGGAGATACCATGCGTCCAGGCTACGCTTCCCGGGCTGTCAGTAGAGAAAGAAGGATCACAGATGCCCTGCTGTCAACTTTGCTCGGTGCCTGCGGGGCCTGGTCCAGCACACACGCTCTTACCCGATGTGGCAGTAGCAGTGCAGTTCCCGCAGGAGACTCAAAACCAAAACCGCAGACACCGCGAAAATGCTCTACACAGAGTCAAGCTGTTCATTACTGGAACTGCAAGATCCACATCACATATGAGTCACAAGTAAATGGTACTTTAGGGCTCCAGTGAGGTGAGCGCAAAGAAAACAGTCTCAGGAATGCACATGGAGCCAACGTGAGGACTCCTGGCCTGGCCGGGAGGTGTGGCCGAGTGACTGAGCTCTAGACAGTGGAATGTGAGTGGAAGGAAATGTGCCATTTCCAGGCGCATCTCACTGACACCTCTTAGGAGCAGTCCTCCGGCACTTCCTCCTCCTGCTAGCAAGCCTGGCAGAGCGCCCATGGAGAAGCTGGGGCTCTGGGTGACCGCTTGAAGAGCCACCCACCGACCTTTCCATCTCCACACAGGAAACAGAAACTTATTCGGCAAGTAGTTCGGATTGGGCTTTTTCTCCCCATCACCATTTATCCCCTCTCGCCCTCTTCCACCTCCACCCTGCAATCACCACACTGTTTCCATGTCCATGGGTTCTCTCTTTTTTTATTACAGCAAGTGTGTGTGTCAACTTTACGTGACAACTTGACCGGGTAAAACCGTTATTTCTTGGTGCGTCTGGGAAGGTGTTTCCGAACAGATTAGCATTTGCATTTGTAGTCTGATGCCTCCCCAGTGTGGGTGGGCATCGACCAATCCCTGGAGGACTTGAATACAACACAAAAGCAGCGGCAGGCTGAATTTGCTCTTTTTGCTGGAGCTGGGCCAGGTGTCTCTCCTGCCCTCGACATCAGCCTACTGGTCCCCAGGCCTTCAGGCTGGGATCGGGCCTACTCCATCTGCTCCCCTGGCCCTCGGGCCTTTGGATTTGGACTGAACTACACCACCAGCTTTCCTGGGTCTCCAGCTCCCAGCCAGCAGCTCAAGGGACTTCTTGGCCTCTATAACCACATGAGCCAATTCCTACACTAAATCTCCACTTATTTCTATTTATATCTATCTTCTTGGTTTTGCTTCTCTGAAGAGCCCTAATATAGCAAGTAACTAGTTTTTTAGCTCAATTAATACAGCTGACATCTGATCTAGCAATAGCCGCCTCTTAGGATTCCTCTGCTGTTGGAAAAATATAGAACTCAGCCCTGAAAACTCCTAAAAAGTCCAGAGACATGACTCGATCCAGTTCAGTACAGATCCGCACAGCACAGCACAGCAACCATGTTACACACACCCAAAGCCTCCACAGGAATCTCACCTGCCCACAGAGAGGACCGTGACCTCCCCTTGGCGCCTCGGGCGGCCTTCTTTGGACTTGTTGGTCGGTTTTATGAAGTGCCACCTCTTGTGTCTGCACCGCTGACACACATCTCTCTCGACAGCACCGCCCACTGTGTGCAGATGGTGGCCACAGATGTGCTTCCCTGGCGTGCCACCTGGTGACAAGGGCCCGGGGCTCACGGGCGGGCTCCCAGGAGTGCTGGGGGTCACGGGGCTAAGATGGGAAGAAAAAAAAAAACGGTAGAAATGGTTACTTAAAAGAAACACCAGCTAAGGCAGCGGTTCTCAACCTTCTGGCCCTTTAAATACAGTTCCTCAGGTTGTGACCCAACCATAAAATTATTTTCGTTGCTACTTCATAACTGTAATGTTGCTACTGTTATGAATCGTAATGTAAATATCTGATATGCAGGATGGTCTTGGGCGACCCCTGTGAAAGCGTCATTCGACCACCAAAGGGTCTCGACCCACAGGTTGAGAACCGCTGTTTTAGAGTCTCCTTACTGTAGTTAGAAGAGCATACAAAACTCCTGTCACTGACCCAGGGTCCAGAGTTGCCTGACCCTGACTTC